CTTCCTCTGTCATCATCTCCCAACGATCTACTTGACTTGGCTATTCTTGGGCTGAAAAACAACCTCACTCAAAAAAAAAAGCTCCATCTCGGTCCCCTGCTCACTTTCACCTATAATCCGACGCATAAGATCTGCCATAACAAGTGGTACTTTTACCATCATCAATTTCTCAACGACAACAATCTAGATCTCCCCGCTGCGTTCTTGGTATGGAGAGTTCTCACAAACTGACAGTGCTTCATGGTCATCTACAACATGACTGTTGGTCTTTAGCTGCAAATTTCCCCGATTCCATCATCACGCAGTGAATGGAAGTATCCAAGTGAGCGCACGTGGTGCGGACTTGGCTCTCTTGTTGCGAAACTCCTGCTGTTCCATCCGATAGCGTGGCATCCTCCTACCGGACAAACGAACGAGCTCCTTACAATCTCACTGCCAATGTTCCATACCTGAGTCGCATTCAACGTGCTCGCAGTTTCCAACCTACGCCCCAGAAGCATCCGACTACTGTTCGGTTACCCCACTTGTTCTGTCAGTTGGGGACGTCAACAGTCACGGTACCAGTGTGAGTCGATGAACCCGCCCGCTTCAGCAATCTTGAAGATGGAGATGGCTAAATGGTCTCCAGTGCTTGGCAAATTGCCTTGATCGCACTTCTGGGCAATTTCGACCACACCGATCAACAGTTTTCCCTTGCTGGACAGATCAAATCCTGTCTAGCAATTAGTATCTATAAGCTCTGAGAGCCATCGCATCGGAGAGTTCTTCTGTCTCGTGGCATTGGTTCTCTCCATAGCCAAGTCTCTCTGCGTCCAGAACCAGAGAGCCAACATCATGTCGGATCACTCGACTGGTCCTTTTGGGAGTAGGTCACCGATGAATATTGAATTCGTGCATTCAGCTAATGTGCCAGGCTCTGGAGCCCATCCATACCAGCTCCCGCCTCCACGTACGTCCGCACCCTTACAGATCGGGACGGACCCCTTCCTGCGCCAGCGCAATCAAACAGAGAACCGCGAACCTGGCGAGATAGCCTCGGGGCGGCCAAGTCTTTCGGGGCCACAGCTGGGGCCGAAGGAGCAACTGCCGCCTGTGAGTCAGTTACTGACGCCCAGTGCTCATTCGAGCCGGCCATCGTCTCCGTATCACGCCCACAGATTTGGGGTTTATACCCCTCCCACTGGTAGTACAGGCTCACCAATCCCTCGCCATCATAATGAACATCTACCGCGACCTAGCATTCACGAGAGCCCTCGGGCTTTTCCTGAGGCGGTCGCATCGCAGAGTCGAAGCCTGCCGCCGTTGTCTCACATCTCGACTAACACTGGATTCGGACGTGAAGGGTCTATACACACAGCGTCTACTAGTTCGTCCGGACAACCCATTCACGCAACTCCTTTCTCATATTCTGGCTTCAAACCCCAGGATAAGGAATATGGCGGGGATTATTCCCCATCAGAAACCGCATCCGACATGGCCTCGGCTAATCGATCCTCAGGGAGCAATGTACGGCCACACGTGGTGGACGAGAAATACATCGACGGAGAAGGATTGTGTTATATCTATGCGGATGGGTCGCACTGCCCAAAGCTTATTGATGGTGTTCCAGTGAATGCAAACTGGGGAATCACAAAAGCCGGCAAACCGAGGAAGAGACTGGCACAGGCTTGTCTGACTTGCAGGGAGAAGAAGATCAAATGCCAGCCAAATCTCCCAAAATGCGACCAATGCCAGAAGTCTGGGAGAGTCTGCAGATTCGAGAGCGCGTAAGTCGGTGTTGACATCGCTTCTGAGAACCGCCCAAACCTGCAGCTGCTGACCGGACATCTTGCTAGACCTCGTGGCCATCGAGCGGCACTCAAAACGGCGCACCTCATGGGCAAATACGATTCACAAGAGGGCTACTCTGGGGGTAGTTACACCTATGGTGCCTCACCTCAGCCCTCATACTCGACGATGCGGGCATCCGAGAGCTCCGTATCCCTCCCAGGCACGAATTCGCTATCTCCCAAGTCCGAAGCATCCATAATCACCCCCTCGGCCGTTGACACAACCCAAGACGTGATGGACTACGAGCCACAGTTTCGACCGAAAGCGTACAGCTTCGGCCGAGCATCCTCGGGGGCGGAAGATACACCCAGAAACACAGTCAGCGTGTCTTCGTTTGTGTCTCCGGACTATGCGGATGTGTTGAGAGAGATGAAGGATATGAACTCTCAAGATCCACTTGTGAGCGACTGGAATACAGATCCTTACGAGGCCGATCCGGAACTTACGGTGCATTACATCGAAAGCTATTTCACCTACGTGAACGACCGACTGTACTACATCTTTCCACGAAACCGATTTCTGCTGTGGCTAAGGGCGAGCCATACCAAATCGTTGGAAGACAACATGCTTCTCTACGCGATGATGGCATTAGGATCGGTCTTCTCTGATCGTCCTGATAGGATGATGGCGATGAGGAAGTACGCAAGCACAGCTCGATACGCTGTGGAGCATGGCAGACACAGTCTGTCTTTGCAGCTTGCCCAGAGCCATCTCATTTTGAGCATGTGGTACTACGCCATCGGAGCCCTGGTGAAATCGTGGGACGCTGCTGGGGCGGCCGTCCGCACAGTATGTGGGCTTCGTTATAATGTCGAAGCAGGGGGAGTCATTGTGGATCAAAACCAGGCCTGTGAGTATGGACTGCATCCACAGGCTTTGATTGAGTGTCGCAGACGGACGTTCTGGGTTGCATTCATCAAGGACGTGAGTATCCAAGCCAGCCCTTGCATCTGTCTATTTCGCGGCTAATTGTGTTGGTGTGATTCAGCGTACCACCTGCGTTTATGCCCCGTCACCCGTCACCATCTCCCCCCAGTCCGCCTACCTTCGACTTCCTTGCCGCGAAGAGATTTTCGAAGCACAAGAATATACCACCGTACCTTACTTTCAAAGTTTCTTGAACCAGAATCCTTCTTCAAACAACGACATTTCCGGGATGAGCGCCATGGCACTCCTGATCGAGATCATGTCGCTGTGGGGAGAAGTATCGGACCATGTCTTCCGGTTGTCGTTGATTCCGACGGAAGTATATGGCGAACACTTCGAGCAATTCTACTCGACAGTGGCCCGGCGCGCTAAGGAATGGATTGCAAGGCTTCCGGACCATCTTACATTCACGGCCGTGAATCTGGAACGGAGCATCCGTACCAAGAAAGCAGACGCGTTTATGTCAATCCATATGGTCTATCATGCTACATTGATGAAGCTGAACCGACATGCCCGTCACCAGAGCATTCGCGCGGAGGTGGTGAGCCAGCATATCCACGCCGCCAGAACCCATGCGGCTGATATTCTTCGCATGGCCAAAGCACTGGTTCAATCCGCAACCGAGTACGAACCGACCCGGATTCTCATGGAACCAACTTCGGCGAAGGGGGCAATCTTGAATCCGTTTCTGGGCTATGTGATTTTGTCTGCGATTGATGTTATCAGTGCAGCAGGCCGGTTGGTCGAGCTGCGCGAATGTATTGCTCTCATCCACGGTGGTCTTGAGGCAGTCAAAGAGCTGGCACGGTTCTGGGGCAGTACCCTGGCGCTAGCTACCTTGATCCAAGAGCGGCTTGACACCTTGAGCGCATGCCTAGAGAACCCGACGCACACCGAGGGTAAAGTGGCCTTCCTGAGCAGGAGCGCGTCTCTGGATAGCAAGGCTCGCAATGTGCTGCAAAAGCATGCAGAGCCATCGACGGACGAGGATCTTATGTATGGAGCATTGCCATATGAGGGATTGCTCAGTGCTCTCGGTGCTGGCAATGGCCCTTTTGCGGCCGAAACCATTCTCTGGGTTGGAGACACCAAAAGCTGATACTGTTTTCGGAAGGTTGTTTGACATTGCATTTTAAGGCATGTAATAACAAAAGCACGGCCATTTTGTTGTTCTTGATTTTGACACATCATATACCCGGGAGGCTTGTTTTGACTTTTGTTCTGGGGTGGTTTTTCTCGACCCGCCAGTGGATGATTGTACTGTACAGATATACATTTGAGTCTTCATGAAGCATATGACAGAATTGGGTGAGTCAATGGATATACATATGAGTAATTGGCCTCTGGATTCCTGGAGTCAAATCAATTTAAATTGTGAGCAATCATCTTTATTGTAGTTGTAGTTGTAGTTGTAGTTGTAGTTGCATGTCCTCACCGCCGAGGCTGTTTCTTCCAACGTCATTGAAACGGTTGACTGACGACCACCTGTGCCCTGCAGCAAGCCAGCACATCCGTTGTAAATGCAGTCAGTGGTCAATTTCCACAGACAAACCAGCGTCATAGTCAATCCACTTGCTGCTCAGCGAAGTGATAGAATGAGACTGTCTTTCCAAAGAGGAGGGATGTAATTAAGCAAGCCTGTCCTCCAGTTCCGCCGACGGACTTTCTTTACCCTTAGATTGGTTTCCCCGCTCTTTCCGCCCCTCCGTTCGGTCGGTCCGGTCCAGCCAGCCAGCCAGCTTCTTGCCCATTCCGGCGCGCGTCTTTGCCGTTCGACCCAGTCGCCCTTTGCGCAGAATCGTCAACGGCCACACTTCATACCCCATACCTCAAATCAAACCCTTGACCACTGCAGTACTTGGGCCTTCTTATCTGACATATTTTGAATCCCCCTACGCAAGGGATTGGGACGGAATCTCCCTAAGGGTAGCTTCAGAGGGAATAGAAAAGAAGCGCGCGGAAGAGAAAACTCCCCAGCAAGGACACTCACGAGTGAATCCTGGTAGCCTGACCACAGCGAATTCCCGAAACACGACAACTGTCTACCTGCCTACCTGCCTGCCTGCCTGCATATCTACCTACCTACCGTCTCATACGGCAGCAACGGGAGAGGGAAAGGAAAAGGAAAAGGAAAAGAAAAGAAAAAGAAAAAAAAAAAGATGTCCACAACCAGGGCCATCGACCCGGAGGACTCCAGTGACGCCTTCTTACCGCACCACCAAGAATCCCGCCCACGACCGGCTATGAACAACCGCAACGATGGCGACGACGACGACGACGATGAAGAAGACTACGACCTCCTCGACCCCTCATCCTCCACCACCCTCCTCAGCGCTTGGGACGTCGACGACGACGATAACGCCCACGAACCCGACTACTACACCCTCCTCAACCTGCGCCGGCAGCCGCCCCCGACCGACGCCCAGATCCGCTCCGCCTACCGCACGCTCACCCTCTCGTTCCACCCGGACAAGCAGCCGGCGCAACTGGCCGAGGCGGCCAAGCGGCACTTCGAGCGGATCCGCGAGGCCTACGAGACGCTGATCGACGCGCGGAAGCGCGTGGTGTACGATCTGCTGGGGGCGGAGGCGGTGCGGGAGGAGTTTGGCGAGGCGGAGCGCGTTGCTGCTGCTGCTGCTACCCCTGGAAGTGGGGGGAGGGCGGCGGAGTGGCGGGTGGGGTTGAAGGCGAAGAGTCCCGAGGAGTTTCGGCGGTGGTTTTTGGAGAGGATGAAGGCGAGGGAGCGGAGGGCGGTGAATTCCTTGGTGGAGGGGAAGGTATGGTTCTTCTTTTCCTTTCTTTTTATTATGGACATTTTGGGGGAGGGGGACTGGGTTGACTGGTTTCACTGACGTGTGTTGTGACTGTGGCTAGGGGACGTTTACACTCGGCGTGGACGCTTCGAATACCATCACCATTGACAGGGATGCCGGGGAGGTCTATCTTAATGTCCCGGATCCGAAATTGTCCAAGTTTGGCGTGGCGTTTGCCTTTAAGGCGCCGTTGCCGACATGGAGGAATGTTGCGGGTGAGGATGAGACGGAGGATGATTATGATGACAACGAGAAAGAGGACGGTGCGGCCCCGCGGAATGACCTGGGCTCGCTGGAGGATGGACCGGAGATGGTTATCAATGCCGGGATCTCGGGCAAGATTCGTCATTTGACGCAGAAGTTGCAGGTTCAGATCGAAGATCAGGAGCCGGAGGCTGTGGAGGTAATCTCTCCTGTTTCTGTTCGAGCGTTCAAGACGAGAGGGGTGACGAGAAGTACTCACTGATTGATGGTTTAGGTTCCTGTCCCCTTGGTCATCTCGACCAAAGAATTGCAACTGGGTGTGGGCGTATTTCGCGCCTTCGGAGACCTGTCCGGCTCCAAGGGCATCCTGGGCAAGCCTGCCCTGTCGTTCCTTCAGTACTCGGGCCTGTCGGTGAATGCTTCGGTGCTCCCAATCCCAGAGCTCGATGTCAACTGGGCGAAACCTTTCACCCTCGTCCGCGGGACGAGGCCTTTCCGGCTGGTGCTGAACACGGTGTTTCAACGGCCGGTTTGGGCTGCTCCGCCGATAATGGGCGTTCGGCTGTCGAAGCAGATTGGCGAGCAGAAACATGTGTTTGCCAGCTTGAACAGTGGAACGCTCGTCTGGCCCGTTTGGTTCCGCCAGCTCCTCAGTCCAAGTTACGAGATTCAAGATGACTTCAAGCACCTCCTCTCTATCCCAGGACAACTGAGCCAATTCCAATTATGTCTCTTGTCTCAGCCGACGACCAAGTACATGGCTAGTATTGACGATGATGAGGATGACGGCGAGTTGGACGAGGACGTCGAGTTTGAGGATGTCCGCTCTCAACACCGCAAAAACCACCGTGCTGCCGAAGCGTGGCAGGCAGGAGTCGCAGTCAGCCCGCAGATGGGTGGTCTGTCCTTCAACTACTCCCGCAACATCTTCTCTGGCAAGCCGTCCACCGATGCATCACTTTCCCAATGGAGCTCGGAGGGACATTATCGCCTACCTCAAGAGAATGAACCACGGTCCGTGAGGGTCGGCATCGAGAGCATGGTCGGTTTCGACCTGTCGCTTGAGTGGCATATCGAGGGAACCCGTCGGGTTGGTGACCTGGCCCGCATGGGGCTGGGCGTTGGTGTCCAATCGTCGAATGGCCTGGTTATGACCATTTCCTGGAGCAGACTGGGGCAGAAAATCAGACTGCCCATTACGGTGTGCTCCTTCGAAGCGGCCAACGCTGATGCCGCTGCTGTGGCGGTCCTGCTTCCCTGGGTCGCATACTGCGCGCTGGAATTCGGGTTTATCCGTCCGAGGGAGCGGAGGAAGCACCGTCGGGTGATCGCCCGACGACAGAAGCAGCTCAAGAAGCTGGTCCCCACGAAGAGGGAAGAGAGCCAGCAGGCGATCCAGCTGATGATGGACCAGGTGCAGCGGCGTCGTGACCGGGAGGCCGCGCACGATGGCTTGGTGATCACCCGGGCCGAATACGGCCACTACCCCAAGAAGAAGCGGAGCGATGGCAGCGAGAGGGAACCTGACGTGGCCGATGTCACTGTTCCGGTCATGGCGCTGGTCGACAACGGTCAGTTGGTGATCCCCAAGAACACGGCCAAGTTCCACATCCTCGGGTTCTACGACCCTGCACCTCTCCAGCCCAAGACCTTGAAGATCTGGTACACGTACCACGGCAAGGAACATTATGTGGAAGCGGGTGATAAGGAAGGCGTTGCCTGCCCCATGCGATCGCATATGCTGTAAGCGAGGCCATTAGGCCTTTTTGTTGTTTGTTGTGTTCATTTCATACTTTCTAACTCTGTAATGGAAACGTGACCCACCGACATCAGGTCATCCATGATGCGTATGGGTATGTTCCATGATGGCTGTCTGTGTATGATAGATCTGCGAAGTGATTCCCCTCTCATCGATAACTTTTTTCCTGGCGATGATCTAAGATTTTGATGTACTGTACTATAGAGCGTATAAGTGGAGATCCGGATAATGCTCTGTCTTGGGCATTTTAACTATTAATCCCTACTCAATTAGAGACATAGATAATCTTGACACTGAGCTACTGGCCGCAAAGATGTAGTTGAAGATAACAGATGACGTACTCAGCCCGCAACTTCAGGTGTCAAGGGGAGAGTGAAGTAAGTAGTTAAAGTAATACTGTATCGAGTAAAATCCAAGGTGGCCACCGCCCTGCGACCACGTGACCGTCGACGCAATTCCGCCGCCCGCCAAACTTCCCATCCCGACGAGCTCGAAACGCAGTCAACCTCTGAACCCCGTTTCCCCCCATCCATCCCCTCAGTCATCATCATCTCGAACCCCCTACCACGATGGCGTCCATAGCGGAGGGGCTTTTCAAGGCTCTTCCGAAGCCGAAATACACCGGCGAGGAGGAGGAGCTCCCACAACACGCGCAGCCCCGTGGCCCCCGGGTCGTCGGCCCCGGCCAACTCGATGAATCCCAGATTGTGCTCCGGGTGAGTTTCCACCACACCCTTCTGCTCGACCCGCCCTGCCTACCTACACTTTACTCCGCGGATATAATACTAATTGCTCTATTGGTTGTCTAGAGAACCGGACCTCCCCCCTATCAGAACCGCGCCGGATGGCGGCCGCGGGCCCCCGAGGACTTCGGCGACGGCGGCGCGTTCCCGGAGATCCTGGTGGCGCAGTACCCGCTGGACATGGGCCGCAAGGGGACGGCGTCGACGTCGAACGCGCTGGCGGTGCAGGTGGACGCGGAGGGGAAGGTGAAGTACGACGCGATCGCGCGGCGGGGCCACGGCGACCAGCGGATCGTGCACGCCTCGTTCAAGGACCTGATCCCGCTGCGGCAGCGGGTCGACATGGGCGAGGTGTCGCTGGACCGGCCGTCGGAGGAGGAGGTGGCGGCGCAGATGGAGAAGACCAAGACCGCGCTGGCCAGTCTGGTGGAAGGGGCAGTGTCGGCGCAGAAGCCCAAGAACGTGCGCGGGGGCCGCCGCGCCGAGCCCACCTTCGTGCGCTACACGCCCGCCAACAACCAAATGGGCGATACCTCGCGCAAGAACGACCGCATCATGAAGATCGTCGAGCGCCAGCAGGATCCCATGGAGCCGCCCAAGTTCAAGCACAAGAAGATTCCCCGGGGCCCGCCCTCGCCCCCGCCGCCGATCATGCACTCCCCGCCCCGCAAGTTGACCGCCGAGGATCAGGAGGCCTGGAAGATTCCCCCGCCCGTGTCGAATTGGAAGAATCCCAAGGGTTATACCGTGCCGTTGGATAAGCGCTTGGCCGCCGATGGTCGCGGGTTGCAGGATGTCACGATCAACGATAAGTTCGCCCAGTTCGCCGAGGCGCTGTTCACGGCCGACCGGCACGCGCGGGAGGAGGTGCGGCTGCGCGCCCAGATGCAGCAGAAGTTGGCGGAGAAGGAGAAGGCCCAGAAGGAGGAGCATCTGCGCGCGTTGGCGCAGAAGGCCCGCGACGAGAGAGCGGGCGGCGGCAGTCGTCGTCCGCGGGACTACTCGCGGTCGCCGTCCGCCCGCAGTGTCAGCCGCAGCCCGTCGCGGTATTCGGATCGGTCCGGCACGCCGAGTGGCGGGGAGGACGAGGACGAGCGGGCGGCCCGGCAGCGGGAGCAGATGCGGCGCGAGCGGCGGCAGGAGGCGGAGCGGCAGCTGCGGCAGTCGCGCATGGGCACGGAGCGGCGCATCCAGATGATGGCGCGCGAGCAGAACCGGGACATTTCGGAGAAGGTGGCGCTGGGCCTGGCCAAGCCGACGCAGTCGTCCGAGGCCATGTACGACTCGCGGCTGTTCAACCAGACGAGTGGCATGAGCTCCGGGTTCAACGAGGACAACCCCTACGACAAGCCGCTGTTCGCCGCGCAGGACGCCATCAACAGCATCTACCGGCCCCGTGCGCAGCTGGATGACGACGAGGAGGGGGAGGGCGCGGGCGAGGAGATGAGCAAGATCCAGAAGTCGAGCCGGTTCGAGGTTCTGGGCCGCGCTAAGGAGGGTTTCAAGGGTGCTGAATTGGCGGAGGTGAGTTTGCCCCCGTTGGTCGTAACCAAGCTCAAAGTGCTAATTGTCTCGACTAGGCTCGCGATGGTCCCGTGCAGTTCGAAAAGGACACGACGGACCCCTTCGGTATCGACAGCATGATCGCCGACGTCACGGGAGGCGCGGGATCATCGGGCCAGAAGCGCTACGGACTCGAGGAAGTCGATCGTTCCGAGCGTGGCTCGAAACGTGCCCGGGTGGATGACGATTAATGGTGCCGTGGGAATAAGATACCTTGTTTATTTGGTGGTGACTGTACCGTACCTTGTGGCTTTCGGAATTTGTGCTATGCATTGCGGGCGTTGAGCTGTTTTTGTTCCAGGTAGGAAGGATTTGCGTGCTAGGTAGGTATGCCAGTTCTGCGGGGGCTATTTTTTAAAGATTGAGACCAAAAGAATACATACATTACTGTACACTGCACCACCCTGGTGATTCCTCTCTGCCTAACGTACTCTGTCTGACTTTTCTCGTGGTTGGTTATCCCATGTATGGGTGGACTGGACACTGGAAGTAGGCTACGCCATGCATGCATTCATTCAATCGGAAACCTGCCCCTCCCCCCTTCCCTTTCCCCTCTTCACTCTTCACCCTAGGATCCGTGCTGCAGTCACGGACCAGGGTATTGCATATCATAGATAGCATCGAGAGTATCCCTGATACACCCATATCCATGCCCTCCCGACTCCGCTTATCCATTGATTGTACTGCTGCAATAGCTTGTTTCAACCGAGCCCGAGTTGACATGGGCCTTCCTCATTCATTCAGGTTCCTTCCCTCAACACCTTGAATCTAGACAGGCATCCGCCTACTATCCCATCCGTCGATCCAGTCGACAGGCCTCAAGCCCACCCACCTCATCGATACTTTTCTTTTCTTTCTGCCTTGGTATGATATGGTCTGGCGTAAACGCAATGCCCAATTCTGCTGTAGCAGACCGCCAGAAGCCAGAAAAAAGTCACCCGATCTCGATCATGGCGAGAAACAGGATTCTTGGATTCTTGGGTTTGCGTATTGCTATAGTTCGATGTGTTTCCGATTCGGGAGAGGTTATGAGGGTGCAGTGGGTTGGGGTTGTGGGGATACTGCCAGGGACTACTAGCTGGTAGCTGTACTGGTGGGTTCGTTTTCTTTATACTTGCGTGATTATTCGTGATTTTAAAGCTTTGTATGGCTTTGTATAAGGAAGGGTGGGTGTGGTTGGTTGCGTGTGGGTCGTGGTCAAGTGGTTTTTTGTGTCTTGTCATTTGGTTGGGTTCTTTGGTGGGTTACCCTGTCCATGTTGATATCGTAGGGTGAGTGTGAGTGTGTGTGTGGGGAGGGAGGGGGTTGTACTTGTACTTGTGACTTGTTTGGAGGGAGCTAGCTAGCTATGTGGTGTACTGTGGGTTGGGGTACTAGGGACTGGGTTTGTGGTGCACACGATCTCGAGGAAGGTATCATGGGATACTCTTGTGCTTTGAATGGTTCAGCGGTATGATGCTTGCTGGAGGCTATTTACTGGTTTTGTGTGGTGGTGGTGGTGGTGGTGGCGGTGGCGGTGATGATCTTGCTATTCTTATCTGTCAGTTACAAGGGACACACGCCGGTGTCTAGGTACGATACTCAGTACTCAGTACTCAGAGGTAGTCCGTGGCGAGAATCCCGCAATCATGCCGTATGTAGGTAGGTAGGTGGATGTATGTCGATGCCTAGTGCGGAGGCTAACTGCACGGTACTTCTTACCTTCCCCTCCCTTGTAGAGGGGTAGACGGAAACAGACAGACAGGACGTCCGTCGCAAAGTACTGTACCATTATCCCCCGGGATTTTATACTAACTGCCGACTTGGGATGTGTGCTCTGCGAACTGGAACTTGTAAGCTACAGACTGTGCTACAGCTACGCTACGCTACAGCTCCAGCTAGAGCTAAGCCACACACACACCACACCACCACACCACCACACCACCCTTACCACCCTTACCACCCTTACCACCCCCCCTCGTCTATCATCGTGGCTTGAGATCTGGTTGCTCTGGTTGGTGGGAACAAAGGCGTGGCGTGGAAGGATCGCATGAACTGCTGTGCTGCGGGCAGGTTGCCTTTTTGTTCCGGTCTCCCCAGCTTTGGCTTACTTCCTTATTTTGGTCTCGTATTCGGCTGGGCGGTGGATGTGATGCGGTGCGATGCGATGTGATGTGAGGATACGGGGTAACTAGCTGAGCTGAAGGAAGTGGGAGTGTGGCTTGTGGCCGGGTTATTTACTTCCTGCCTAGCTGAGCTAGTCAGTAAGGTGATGCATTAGTAACTACTGTACTGTAGTTTAGTAAATAACTACGGTACTGTATCTCTAACCTAGTAACCAAAGTCCGTCCAGCTACTGCAGTACTGTACACAAAATCTGCATGCATCCATGCGCACGAGGGGCCGATAGATATCAGGCCATTGTTCGGTGTTCTGCTCGGGTCGATCACTTGGTGATCATTGGGTCATTGGGTATCACTATCACTTACATAGTACAGTACAACTTACCGGATGGGCCGGTATATCTTACCTAGAGAAGGGAGGGGGGGGAAAGATAGTCTAGGGTTCGCTACTTATCTCCCTCAGGCTAGTACTATTCCATCTCCGTACCTAGTCGAGGAGGAAATGACTGGTGCTGGTGGGTGGGTGATGGAAGTTTCAGACGACCAACCACATCCGGAGGCAGATCCTGCTGTGCCGGCGGAGATCGTGGTCGTTGTCTCCTGCTCTGGTCATTGGGGGGGGAGTTTGGTTATTTGCCTTGATTTCTATCCGGGGTTTGCGAAAGGTAGAGTATTTAGACTCTGCGCTTCAAGCGCAGGGTTAAGGATGGATATCGGAAAGCGGAAAGCGGAGGCATACCGGGACCAGACTATTAAGGGCGTGGAGTGGAAGTCAGTTGGGTTTGAGGAAAATTGTCGGGTAAATTGAATCAAGGTTGGTCCGCTCGACTGTACTCTGTACTGACACTTGCATGGAGATGAAACGATGACGGCTATCTGGATATAACTTGCACTGTGTATACATAGAACAGATGGCCTGTCGCTCGGGTCCGGAATTGTAAAAACTACTGAGTTTGAGGATGTATGTACTGTAGTTTCTTGCATGGCATGTGCAAGTGTTGTAAGCGGGAGCGGAAGGCAAACGCGATGATGTTTGGGACTGCGTTCAACTTGCGATGCGATGCAGTGGTCGGGTCAAGCATTTCACAATTGAATGCTCTCTGATTGGATCTCCGACTGGCTGGCGTATATCGCTCAGAGGCAAGTCAATGTCAAAAGTCCAACAGCTACGCTACTGCTCCACAATCCGCTCAACAGTCCAGATACTAATTGCCCGCTTGGCTCCTCGTTTCTCGAGACTAACACGCCAGTGTGTGCCACAATTCCTTCAATTTGCTCCCTCAGCGGTCCTTTCTGTAATCCCTACAGTGCCACCCCCTCACTTCTAGCTGCAATCCACAAGCCGACAAATTACCTGAGGCTTGAAGGCGACGATGAAAAAAAAAATCTCAGCGCCCTAATCTACTGTCCTGGCAATCGCCACTCCTCCACATTTCCACTGCAGGATGGCCCTGTGTGACTGGATCGATGGCTGATTTGCGCGACTGTGGTGCCTGACTAGTAAGCCAGCAGCTTCTTTCTTTTTTCCCTCCCACACGTTCATCACACAAGAACATCCTTGCCCCTGGAAAGTGCGGGGGAGCCGAGAAGGTAAGAAGGTGGTGCTGTCTAAGGTTTGCGCAGGATGGGAGGGAGAGAGGGTGATTGCGCCGTGAGAAGCGGGTTGGCGTTGGCGGCCAAACCAGAGGCGTCCGCTTATCGATCCGTGCGCGCGCGCGCTGATTGATGAGCATCAAACCAGAGCAAAAAGAGAGCAGCAAACTTAACCCGCTAAGAACCAGCGATCATCCACCCAAGCAGTTGAGCACGGGGCAACACTTCGGTCGGGACCAGCGCCTAGCGCGGGGGCGCCATCCAAAGGGATTTGCTGGTTCTACTGATAAGCAGTCTGGGTCCCGGTGGAGCCTGGCAGCTGGAGACCAGAGATAAAGGCCGGAAAAGGGCGTTGGAATGACTCGATTCGAAGTATTAGGTAAAAAGGTTTGTGGTTGTCGAGGTTGTGTGAGCGCAAGAAAAAAAAAAGAAGAAGGATAAGAGAACCAGAGTTCGTCTGCACTCGTTCTCAGATCTCTTTTTCGATTCGTTCTTGGCTTGGGAAGGAATCGCACGAGGTACAGTACCCTGATACAGTACAGGACTGGTAGAAGAAACGCGAGTGTGTGTCTGTGTGTCTCTTGTCGGTTTTCTGTCTTGTTCTGCAGCCAGTCATCATCAGCAGTGAACTTAATTTTTCTTCCTTTTCTTTTTTTCTCTTTTTCTTTTTCTTTCTTGTTGTCTCAACCAGTCACTGACGGACACTCAAATATTGTGGGCAAGAATCTGGATTACTACTTCATACTCTGGTCACAACCAGCCGAATATCCGCTGTGGAACTGTCGCTGAAACGGTCAGGTCGCAGTGTCACATTTTCAAAGCCGGACAGGAACTGGTCCAGACTCCACCCATCCATCCATTACATTGAGTCAGTTGAGTCAGTGTCGTAGTAGAAGAGAGAAGAGAGAAAAGTGAGTGAGTGAGTAAGTGAGTGTGGTTGGAGGGAACAGACGAATTGCATCGCATCACCAGCCACGAGGTGGTGGTGGTGGTGGTGGTCGAGTCACCTGCTTTCCACTTCTCAACTAAGCTCTTCTCCTCTTCTGCCTCCTGCAACAACTGAACTGAACTGAACTATTAACTCAAATCCTCTTTTGGTGCTTCCCCTCATCTGCCTCTTCTTCGACTTCTGCCTCTTTTCTTCACCCTCAATTAACCTTCAATCTCCTCGATCCTCTCACAAGACCACAATCACCCCCCCCTCCCCTCCACCCAATCGACGGTGACGCAAATTCCTCCTACATGCCGTAATCTCCTCAATTGCCTTCTGCATCGATGATCTACTAAATCCCGTCTTCCGTGCTACACCTGAATTGATATCATCTGCTCAAACAATGGCGTAACCAGGGGTGGGAGAACAATGAGCAATCGAGGCTACGAACTATTCAGGTCTTTCAAGCACAGAAAGAAAAAGCGAACAAAGGATCCTGACTCAACCTTCCGTCTGGCGTCATAATCCCCCAGATTAAAGTGATCGCCCGGGCGATTGATCTGCCTTGCCTGCACTACACTACACTGCACTACACTGCACTGCACTGTACAGCCGCAGCCTGGTGGCTCCATACATACTTTATTACTGGGCTGTCTACCTTTTTATTACTGAAATCTCATCGATCCTTTCACTCCTCCTATCACTTTCCTATCCACTACTGATCAATATTGATCTATACTGTGAGTTTCCACACTACCTGTTTGCGCTTCTTACCTCTAACTGGTATTAGATCGTGCCGACACTACCTTGACCTGAATTAACTGTCTACTTTGCCGGGTCATCGGCTGTCACTACAGTGAATTAACGCCTTTTGCGGCCCTTCTCTGCCCACAGATTCTAGCAAGATGGAGCAATCACTGTCTCTAATCTCTGCCCAGGTCCAGTTCATGGTGAGCCTTGACTTATCCTCTACACCAACTGAACACCCTGCTTGCCATGTCCCTTTCCATCCAGACAACACATCATGGCATCTACTCCGCTCAAGCTCGTCTCACTAACCACCATCGTGGAAATACAGGAAGATCGACTGGCCCTGGTGCATATTCCACTGGATCTCTACCCGTTCTTCCTCAACCCGATCCTGCAGGTGCTCTTTCATGAGGTGTCTCCGATCGCTGAGGCTCGAACGGAAGGTCAGGATTTCGGCCGTGCCGACATGCTCAAACATACGCAGCCCGCATTCTTGAACCTCTCTATCACCCCGGTGGAATGCTCAATCATGTGTCCAAGACAGCTTGCCAATCAGTACTTCGCGCCGTTGGTCGATAAGTTCCTTCGCAGCAATTCGTCCAGCCAGAGTCGCCTATCGATCAGCCACGATGATTTCATTGCCATGCAGGTGTACGGCGAGGGTCTGGAAGCTGGCCAGCGGGTCCTGGAACTCACCCGGCCACTGGCTATGGCTGGAATGTACGTACCAATCGGTTCGAGATTTTGGGCAGCCCACTGACTGGAATGATGTAGCTCCATCTTCTTCATCTCGACCTACTTCTCGGATTACATCATTGTCCCTCTGCGCAGCAAGACTCAAGTGATCGAAACGCTGGAGAAGCGTGGCTTCCAGTTTGAACTATCAACGGAGGCGTTCATCAACAACAATCAGGCCCAGTACGGTAGCTGCTTCAGTCCTGTTTCCTCTCGTTCGGCAAGTAGTCTGAGTTCCCCTCCGGCTACGCCTCCTCCTTCATCTTTGGACGAGCTACAAGTGCGCACCTTCTCGTCACTACGCAAGAACCACATTATTCCATCCGTCGATCGCTCGCTCCGTCTAGTGCATTGCGCGGCCCACCATCAATTCAGCAGCAACACCAGCTCCATTGAGATTCTCCGGGAGGCACTCACCACTACATTGATTGTCGATAAACCACGGTTTCTGTCACTTACCTTGACCGCTGCTGATCCCGCGGCATCTCTTCTTCTAGAGAAACGGCTTCTTCCGCGGTTCTCCCATGGAAACTCCACAACTGCGGACGAAGATGACGAGTCTAGTCTTCTACTCGGGTCGAAGGAGGAGATATTAGTTCCCATCATGCTGGATCTGCGCAAACTGCCCCTTGAGGCGACAGGTATCGTTTGTGGCGTTGCCAGTCGACTGGCCGATGCTACTCATGCCCGCGACGATGAGGACACCGATGTATCCACCTTCTTGTCTCGTTCCTACAATGGTTCGGGCACCTCTCTGGACAGCGCCTTCAAACCTTTCCTCTCCTCCAGCTGGGGATCCGGTGGACCAGTGCGACCTCTTGGCGTCGACGCCAGCGTTGCAACCCATCGCTTGCAACCCGACATGGACCTGTCGATGGATGCCGTGGAGATTAGCTTCCTCAGCACCGCCCGCGCGGGCACCATTCTGGTTGGTGAGCATGAGTTGCACCGTGCCGTGGATGCCTTGGAAGCGGAAAGTCACGAGCCCGAAGCCGCCATTGAGGCTCTCGAGATTTAGCTTTTGCCGTTCGCTGCCTTACACGAAAGGGCTCACACATCCCTCCACCCCCTAAAATTCTGTTGCTGTGTTTTTACTACAAAGTTTTTTTTTGCTTTGCGACCAGATACCAAATTGTTGCATTGACCTCGCCGTTTCTTGCATTGTGTGTTCCTGGCGCTATTTGCATACTCCCATATCATTTTTTTTTCTCCCCTTTCTTCTTCTTTCACAAAATTACTCCACGCCAGGCAAAGCGAAATTGGGTGTTTGGGAAACGTTGTTTACACTGCATGACCTCTCCAGAAAAGTTGTTTGATTGTTTCTTGTGCTTGAAAACAAATCTTCCAGGATTATTGCATTTACATCGGCCATCTGAATTTAGTTTACTATCATTGTGGGACATTTTCGTGGGATCTTGTTGGGCTGGTAGTGGATTCGGATTGTCCATAAGCTTTTTTTTTTTTTTTTGTTGTGACAGTACTTGACGGTGATATAGCAGACTAAGCAAGCATGTGGCTAGTCGGTGGCATCGCTGAGGTGATTCGATCCATGTTGATACCGCGATCCGTGCATGCATAGGAAGGATTGACTGGCCGTTAGATCACGGAGTAGCCGATAACTGTGGTGGAATACCATTTGTTTCATATTGAACTGAATATCGGTCCGGAACCTTTCCTTCTCTTGCCGGGGTGTACTCAATAGGTGACTGGTATCTAGGCAACAAACACACTGCCATGCCCGCGGGACAATGTCCGTTGCCACTACCAGTGTATTGTATATCCCAAGTGTACTGTACAATCAAGTCTCAGGGGCAAGAAGAGGCAACGCAAGAAGCCCGCTCGCCTCCGGAGACCTTGCCTTCTTGCCTGTCTGCCCCCTCGTCACCTCCCTCCCTCCCTCCCTCCCTCCCTCCCTCCATCGTAACTACGGAGCAAACCTGCTTCACCATTCTATGTCCGTTCCATTTCCGAAGTGTTCACAGTAAAGTATAACATCCCGTACTGTACTCCATCCTCGACCGTAAGCTACTCCATCCTTTCCTGTAGGCTCCGAACCCTTGATGGTTTACCCAGACAGAAAGTACAGTGCAGTAGGTTTTCGCCAGCTCAGTTGCCTGGCCCACTGGTCCTCCGTAACTTCATCCCACACCGATAAGTCAAAATGCAAACGCACCGCCCCTGCATACTCCTCTCGCGAGGCTGTCCCACTTTCTTCCTCCGAATCCGGCGCCCCCTATTCCTTCCCCAGATGGATCATGGAGGTATTGGACCGATCATATAGGATATGATATCCAACCGCCTGGCAGGACTGGGCCCGGACCCGGACCCGGACCCGGGCCAGGGAACTGGGTTAAGCTAAAGGGTGAGTAAGTAAGTAGGGTAAGTCGAGATGTGATATCACAATACCCTCATACTGTATGTACAGTCGTTATTACACAGTGGATAACTTATGGTGCGGTATACTGTACTGTACACTCCCGTGCACTCCCGTGCACTGAATTAGATATTGATTCTAGATTCGGGATCAATGGTGGGTGGGGGCGATTACGATTATTGAGGACCATAATTTCTAGACTCTGTAGATAGGTAGTGTAGTGTAGTGTAGTGGATTATAAGATACCTAATCTAATATAAACTCTACTGTACAGGACGGTGCTGTGCTGTGGTAATCTCCGTAGTGTAGAGTAAGCTATAGTGACTAGTGTAGTGTGAGCTATAGTAGTGTAGTGTAAGTTATAGGAGGAAATATGCTCAGTCCGTGCCAACCCGGCCCTAATCACCGGAAGCCTAGGTCTGCTGGGTCTGAGCCCGCGGGATCGGTAGGTTCACGGTTCCATCCACTGGATGATGCGGCGTCGCTTCTAATGCTTTCTATATAAGAGCAACGATTAAGGGCCGTTTTCCTTTCCAGCAGGTCGATCGGCAGAGGCGTGGGACGGCGGAGAATGGCCTCCAGGGGGTGGCCGATTGGACGGCGGTTGGAGGGGCGAAATGTAGAGGTGATGGTGGTTTAAATCGGATATCTTCGGTGAAGTTTGTGCTGCTGGATGTTGGGGTTTCTTGGTTCTAGAATTGTGGTAAGTTGTACCTAGGGTACTAGGTGGTGAGGTGCAGTGACTGTGACCAAGTACCCAACTGGGCAACAGCCCTCCTCCCTCCCCCTCCCCCCTCGGCCTCGAGCGGATAAGTAAGGCCACCCGGCGGCGAGCTGCGGGTTGCTGTGATTCGAGAAGGTGATATAGTAGGTAAACAAGTATGTTGCGTGATTGAGGTGTGATTCTTTTCGAGTATGGTCCCAGAGCTTTCAGCCGAAGCAGCAGGTGGCTGTGTGATTTTGTCCTCTCGTCACGTCACGTCACTGTCGGCTGTCCGCGGCATTGAATCAGGCTAGGCAAGGGTATATGAGGCTGACACCTTAGTGTCGTTCTCAATCTCGATAAGACCCTCGAAGAAAAAAAAAAAAAAAAACAACGCACACGTGGGCGTCTGATGGCGTTGAGCCAAATCCCAAGGCACGGTAGCCAGTCGGTTCTCGTGGTTAGAGTGAAATACGAGCAAGGGTAAGCAGCCAAGCTGTCAAAGCGCAGAAGCAGTTGGAGATGGACTGGAAAGATTGATTGGTCCCGATGGCTGGGTTTCATGCCATGACCTCCTCAGCTCAGCTCAAATCTCACCCACCGCCGTTTTGATTTTCCCGGGGCTAGCGATAGACTTTGACGGTGCCTGTGATAACGATTAGTGAGGAAGAATCCCACAGAATTCGGGGGTGTTTCTCGAAAAGCACGAGATAGAGGGCATAGAATAGCCGACAGAAAAGTTTCTTGGACAAAAGAGAAGATAGAGAGGGAAAGGCAACATACCATCCGAGCACCCCCCGGCCCAACAACCCCCCTTCTCGTTCCACGCCACGGCACTAACAGCCTTCACCCCCTGACCAGCAGGAACAGCCGCAAGAACCTCTCCGCTGAGCACATCCCAAGCGAACACGGCTGCCTGACCCCCCGCAGCGCTATTACCGCTCACCGTCTCCGCTTCCCCACCGCTCAGAACAACCGCATCCGCCCTGGCGAAGACGGATCGAATCCGCAGCTCGCGATTCCGGTAAACAAGGGACCCCGGCTGCCCCAGCATGAAACTGCTCCTCTCCTCTCCTTCTCTTCTAGCATTCTCCTTCTCGCCCCCGCCACCGAACGCCTGCAGGAGTTTCCCGTCACTGCGATCGAGCATGCGGATCCGCCCGTCCAGCGTCGACGCCAGCACGGCGTGCCCGTCCGCCGAGCAGCGCACGCTCGTGACCGGATGCGCCAGGACATCGACCGTGGTCCGGCCCATGCGGATATCGTAGACGCGCAGCCGGCCGTCGTAGCTGCCGCTGGCGATGGAGTACGTGGACATGTGCACGTGCAGCGAGGACACGGTATCCCGCGCTTCCGGCAGCGTCTGGATCGGCTTGTGCGAGTTGGACTTGCAATCCCACAGGTTGATCGTCGTGTCCGCGCTACCTATGGTGGGCTGTCTTAGTTGATCGCGACTCCTAAAAGATAAAATAAAAAACATACCAGACACCACGACCGAATCGCCGTCGCCAGCGAACTGAACCGCTTCCACTCGCGCATTGTGTCCACTCCAGCGTCGGATGGTCCCTCCTTGCTCGACATCCCACAAGAACACTTGTCTGTCTCCGCCAACGCTTGCGAACCGCGCATTATCGGCGGCGACGGCAACGTCGAGCACCGAGTAACCGTGCGCTTCGTATCGCTGGATTGGAGAGGTCGTTTCGATCACGGTGCCATTGCTGCTAGTAGGGATGGCCCGCGAGAGGTGCACAGCACGATCGCTCGAGCCGGTGAGCACGTAGGTTCCGGGATAACTAGAAAATGTCACCGCGTTGACGGGTCCTGTATACGTCAGAGGCGGTTCGAAGCTGTCGCGATGCAGGACAAGCCTCACCATTGTGCGTCTTGAGTGTGTGGACTAACTGCGTAGGAAACCGTTTGCTCGACATTGGAGAAACGAGATTGAAGAATTACCAGACGACTTTCAACCTAGTCTAACTGCTCAAGAGATCGCGCTATGTGCGGGGATGCAGGGAAAAGAAACCGGGCGGCATAAAGATTGGGGAAAGATGGAGCTGCGGCTCACCGCCGGCGGACGACGGCCTTACTCCGCATTTCCGGCCGCTGCAACATTCTATTTGGGTCCACCATTCAGTCCACCAAAAACTCCCACGCACTAATTAAATCTGTATTGACATGCTACGAAGTACAAGTGGGTTATTATCGAAGATGTAGTCAAACCATCGCTAGTTACCAGAAGGAAAATCAGAAGAACGAACAAACCGGTCCGTGTTGGGCGTCACGGCTCGAGACGTGTAGTCCCCCTGAGCACAAAAAAATCCGAAAATCAACATGAAAAGAAGAGAGTTGAAGGGGTAGTCAGATGTAAAGATATTAGTCGCGTAGAGGTCACAGTTCGTCTGCTTTTCCTTCCGCCCGATTCACAGTCGAAGCCAGTCCTGAAGTATCTCAACGACGTCCGTGGCTCCGAGTGGAAGAGCCCTGCAGTGACTCGATCTCCTGCTCGAGAGATTTGATACTGCGATCGGTCAGCATAACGAGACTCCGAATGTGAGGTGTGCAAGACATACGCAGCGTGTGTAGCCTCCAAGTCCTTGTTGAGACGGTCTCTCTCCGAAATAAGCTTCTGCTCCCACTGGCGGAATCGCTGTTCCTCAACCTTGACCTGCTCGGTGAAACGCTTGCGCAGATTCTCTTCCTCTTCCTTGAACTTGGGGTTGTCGAGCTTTCTGGGGCGAGCCTCGCCGAACTTGCGAGTTTCCATCTGTTGCGCACGGTACGCTTCGTAGTGTTGTTCTTCGGTAGTGTGAATAAGGTCCAGCATGTGAGTGCGGATTAGGATCGAGCGCAGCTTCTTGAAGTCGCAGTGATCCTCGTTCTCAACTTCGGCAACACCCCAAGCGTATTGGCGACCCTTGACAACGCGGTTGTCGCTGGTCTTGACGTCCTTCTCCGATCCGATAACTGCGAAGGGCATGGCGGCCATGAGGCTGCGCGCATGGGTAGCGGCGTGCTCGTCGTCTTCCTCGATCGGGGGAGTGTAGATCTTGATACCTTGGGCCTCGATGACGGCACGGATCTATAAAAGTCACAAACGTCAATGCTTGTCCTTAGTAGACTCCATGCGGGTTGCTCACTCTCTGCTTGTAACGGGCCAAGTCGGTAGGGCTCAGGGTATCGGCCTTGGCGATGACGGGGATGAGGTTGACACGGGAGCTGAGGCGCTTCATGACCTCAATGTCCAAAGGCTTCAGGGTGTGTCCAGTAGGGCGGATGAAGTACAAGCAAGCGTGCACACGCATATCAATCTTATCGGAGCGGCGGGGCTGCTGCTCTTGCAGCATGTAGGATTCATGCTGGTCGTCGAGGAATTCAATGATTGGTTGCCAGGAGTCGCGGTTGTTGACATAGTCTCCGAAGCCGGGGGTATCAATAACAGTCAGGCGAACTACAGCGAGCACCGGAGCATTAGCCATTGTCTGGGAGTGCCAGGAATATCCGCTATCAACCTTTGAAGAACTTCTCCTCAAGCTCCGCCTTGGTGATCTCAATCTCAACAGTTCGGTCGACCTGCTTCTGATGACGGCGCTTGTGATCGGCGTAGTTCTTGATAGTTGTGGAGAACAAAGTGTTGATGAAGGTGGTCTTTCCCAAGCCAGATTCTCCAGCAACCTATATTCATCTAATGAGCTTGGTCCTGCTATGGGATTCCGGGTTCATGGTTAACCAACCATAATCGTGAAAGCAGCACCACGCTTAGCAACGATCTTGTGTCTGGACATCTTCGTTAGTACCGGTCGTGGCTGGCATTGTTTCGCATGGCATACCGCTGGTTGGGAAGCTATTCATATCGTATTGTCAGTTTCATGTTATTTTCAGATCAAGAGACAATGTTTGCTTATCGTAATACATACGTTGGCAATGCCAATGGGGGAGGCGGTTTCGGTAGAAGACATGATGGTAAGGGGTTGAGCTGGAACTTATTGAAGCGGTACCAGACGAAGTAAATAGAGGATGGCGGGAGAAGGACAGCGCTGGCCTAGGACGAATGGGGCGATGGGGCCAACGGGGTAGAAGAGAGAGAAGAATTAAACGAGAGGACAGACGACGAGACGCGGAGTAGAAATAGGATGAGACAACGACCGTCGGGGGGGAGAAGAGTTAGAGGAAGAAAGAGAGAGCGAGGGAGTCTTTGGGGATGGAATGGGATGATAGATCGGGAAGTCGTGCCTTCTTCGACTGGTTGCTGCCCCTGAATCCGCCCCCCGAGCAAACAGAATGCAAACAAGCGAGCGTGACTGCAGTAATTGAGGGGGAAGAAGGGGAACGGTAAACGCCTCAGGCTGTTAAATACCTTATTGGGTCTAGCCAGTCAGACTAAGGCCCCGGATGGCGCTAGCACTATTGAAGACTAATGCGCTCGGGGTCGGAGGAACCGTCGATCCGTTCCTTATCGTCCGTTTTGGGCAGGCCGATTTTTTTGAAGATCGACCGATGAATTGAAGACTAGAGGAAGGCTTGCTGCGGTGCGAACGGATCCGGTCGGCGACAATGAAGACGGATTTTAAGGTCGGTTTATTGCTCTTGCGATTGCTATTTCTGCGAAGACAAAAAGCAGCAAAGATAGGTGGAGCATTGGAACTGACAGCTATATCTAGTTTTCCAACCTACTGGGGACGGTTTATCGCAAAGGTAATCTGCTCTTCACACCCGATGGCAACTCTCTGCTCTCTCCGGTGGGAAACCAGGTCTCGGTCTTCGACTTAGTACAGTATGTGCTTCCGCGCTTTGAGAACGTCGGCATTTAATACTAATACTATCTTCCTTGTGAAGCAACACTTCTTATACACTTCCCTTCGCGCATCGCACCAACATCGATCATCTGGCGCTCTCCCCGAATGGAAAACTTCTCTTGACTATTGACGAGAATGGCCGCGCCATCCTGACCAACTTCTTGCGCCGAATTGTCATCCACCACTTCTCTTTCAAAGGCCGTGTCTCCGCCCTTAAGTTCGCCCCATCCGGTCGCTTTTTCGCTGTGGGTGTAGGAAGACGGCTGCAGTTCTGGAACACCCCGACTACGCCTGGTACCGACAACAATGGAGAGATTGAGTTTGCACCTTTTGTCCTACACCGCGATCTCGCCGGGCATTTTGATGTGGTCCAACATCTCGAGTGGTCGAGCGACTCCCGCTTCCTGATCACAGCCTCCAAGGATTTGACCGCGCGGATATGGAGCTTGGATCCGGAAGAGGGCTTTGAGCCCACAACGCTGGCTGGCCATCGTCAGGGAGTGAAAGCCGCTTATTTCTCCGCCGACCAAGAATCTGTAAGTTTGGAAATTATCTCGCTCTTGAATGTGCGCTAAGCATGGGTAGATTTACACCATCAGTTCCGACGGTGCCGTCTTCCGATGGGAATATGTTACAAAGAAGGATCCGGAGACTATGGAAGATATTGCGGATGCCCGATGGAGGATCGTCAAGAAGGATTTCTTCATGCAGAATGACGCTAAAGTCAACTGCGCTGCTTTCCATGCGCCCACGAATCTTCTGGTTGTTGGGTTCTCTAACGGGTTGTTCGGGCTTTATGACATGCCGGAGTTCAATCAAATTCACCAATTGAGGTATGCATATGCGCCTAGACTCTATCGGACAAGACTAACGTCAGTGCAGTGTTTCTCAAAGCAACATCGACTGCGTGACAATCAACAAATCGGGCGAGTGGTTGGCATTTGGCTCCTCCAAGCATGGACAACTATTGGTGTGGGAATGGCAATCCGAATCGTACATCTTGAAGCAACAAGGCCACCTCGACTCTATGAACACTCTGACATATTCTCCCGACGGCCAAAGAGTTGTGACTGCAGCAGATGACGGAAAGATCAAGGTCTGGGATGTCAAATCTGGTTTCTGCATTGTGACCTTCACGGAACACACAAGCGGAGTCACGGCATGCGAGTTCTCCAAGAAGGGAAATGTTCTTTTTACAGCGTCATTGGACGGCTCTGTCAGAGCCTGGGATCTTATCCGCTACCGAAACTTCCGGACATTCACTGCTCCGACTCGGTTGTCTTTCTCCTCACTCGCAGTTGACCCAAGTGGTGAGGTTGTTTGCGCTGGCTCTCCGGACTCATTCGACATTCATGTCTGGTCCGTGCAAACGGGACAACTGCTCGACCAACTTGCCGGCCACGAGGGTCCTGTTTCGGCCCTCTCATTTGCAGCTGACGGTAACCACTTGGTGAGTGGTAGTTGGGATCACACTGTCCGCATCTGGAGCATTTTCGGCCGGACGCAGACGAGTGAGCCCTTGCAACTACAGGCTGATGTGTTGGATGTCGCTTTCAGACCCGATGGCAAGCAGGTTGCTGCGTCGAGTTTGGATGGCCAGTTGACATTCTGGTCTGTCAATGATGCTGTACAGATTGGCGGTGTTGATGGCCGTCGTGATGTCTCAGGAGGACGGAAGACCAGTGACCGACAGACTGCCGCAAACGCTGCAGGAACTAAGTCCTTCCGCTGCATCAAGTACAGCGCGGACGGTAGTTGTATTCTGGCCGCCGGAAGCAGCAAGTACATCTGTCTGTATGATGTCGCAACAGGCTCGATGGTGAAGAAATATACTGTGTCGGTCAACACCTCGCTCGAGGGCACTCAGGAAATCCTCAATAGCCGCAATATGACGGAGGCTGGCCCTCGCGAACTTATCGATGAGGCAGGTGAGGCTTCAGATGTTGAGGACCGCATCGATCGCAGCCTCCCTGGTGCGAAGCGTGGTGACCCCGGATCTCGGAAAGTCAGACCGGAGGTCCGAGTCACAGGAGTCGACTTTTCACCGGCTGGCCGTTCGTTCTGTGCAGCCTCCACGGAAGGTCTCCTTATCTATAGTTTGGATAGCGATGTGGTGTTCGATCCTTATGATCTTGATATCTCGATCACCCCGTCTAGCATTTTGGAGACCCTTCAGGCCGCCAAGCAGGCCGCAACAACCGGCCAAACGGATGATGACAACACATTCCTCAAGGCGTTCATCATGGCATTCCGTCTAAATGAGAAGAAGCTCATTCGGGCAGTTCATGAAGCCATCCCTCCAGGCGATATTCCCCATGTTGTGCGTGCTGTGCCAACAGTCTATCTCCCTCGCCTCCTTCGCTTTGTCGCCCATGCTGCCGAAGAAACTCCGCATTTAGAGTTCAACTTGCTGTGGATTGAGTCTCTTTTCAGTGCCCATGGCCGCTATTTCAAGGAGAATGCGGGCACATTCGCCCCAGAGCTTCGTGCCGTGCAACGTGTCATCGATGAGATTCATAACAGCCTGAAGAGACTCACCGACAAGAACATCTATGATCTCAACTTCCTCCTGGCGAAACCGGTGCTTGCAGGCAAGAAGCAACCCAGTCTTGTTCTCGCTGCCCTTAATGGTGATGCTGAGGCTACCAATGGCGAGGACGAGGCCATGGAAGAAGCAGCGGAGGAGGCTGATGGGGAATGGATGGGCCTTGAATGATTGCATGTCACTGTTTTTGTACCTTGATACTCCTGTCGTTCTTGTTCCCCTCCGGTCATCTGTTTGGCTTCGCATGTGCTCCTGGCGTTGAATCTGTGGTATATTTGGAAAGAGAAAGAGGACAGCAAAAAGTTCAGGAGTCTTGATGCTGTGTTTATAGGATATGTAGTACATATACACCGAATAATAAACTTTCAGAATTATTTTGGGACGTTTGCAGTGAATGTATCCGGTGTGCTTCAGATGAGCATTTAGTTGCTCTTTGCATTTCTTTCTTCCTCCACCATTTCACTTCCTGGTACTCTTCCATCCACCACAGGCCGTACATCATCCACCATGTCTTTTCTGCGTGACCTTTACGTCTATCTCTACCTGGCTGCGTTGAAGACCTTCCCTGTCTTACCAACCACGCTCATTGTCTGCTTCTTCTTCCATCGCTTTGCCATCGCTCCTTTGTATGATGAACTCGCAAGACTGCCCACAGTCCGATACAGATGGTTTCTCCCCGACACTATCAACCGAATCGTGTTCTACTTTTACGGACGCGATCAAATCGCTCAAGGTTACAGAAAGGTACTCCATGTTGCCGTCATCATATACTCAACAATCCACACTGACATATTTTGGATTTTTTCCAGTACAAGGATCGTGCATTCCGGCTCCTTACCACGGACGGTGACTTGGTTGTTTTGCCGCTCGAGTATCTATGGGAGATCGAACAGTTGCCCATAACCACGCTGAGCGCTGCCAGAGCACGGCATAAGGTGAGCTGAACCATACGAGAGATTGTGATGGTTTGACTGCTGATCATATCCCTCTGTCTTCAGAATCTCCTCAGCGAGTACACTGACGTAGTCAGAGGGAGTACAAATGTATCTCGTGCAGTCGCCGAGATGAGCCAGCAGAATCTTCGTACGTCTACTCGATTTTCTATATCGACACCGGAGGTTGACCGGCAATCTTACTTGCATAACAGAGCACATTACTATGCAATTCAACGATGAATTTCACAAGGCGCTCTACGTCGAAGTCCCAAGATGTCGGCGTACGTATGCCCGAGCCTCCCATCCAACTTCACCTTACTCACCTCCATCACAAACACCTCTACCTCACTCACCTCCATCACAGCCTTAACCTAACACACCAGCCCAGACAAATGGACGCCCATCAACCTCTACAAACTAGTCCTCAAGCTCATCAGCCGCGCCACCGCCCGCTTCACCGTCGGCGAAGAGCTCTACCTGAACGAGCTCTGGCTCGAAATAGTCCCCAGCTACACCAGCGACATCCTGACAACCATCATCCTCCTGCGTTCCGTGCCCCAGGTCCTACGACCCCTCGTCGCACGCCTTCTCCCCAGCCTACGCCGGGCCCGCGCAAGAGCCCGCTGGGCCCAGACCGAGCTGCTCATGCCCACAATCCAGTCGCGCCAACACAAGGAAGTCCACGACGGCGCATACCGAAAGCCCCAGGACCTCATGCAGAGGATGCTGGACACAGCGACGACCAACTTCGACCGGGAGCCCGCCAACATCGCCAAAGCGCTGATGTCGACCATCACACTCTCGATCGTCCACCCGATCACCAACCTGGTCACGCACGCCGTCTACGACGCTCTCACCCAGGGCCAGAGCCAGACAATCGGTCCACTGCGCACAGAGACCGAAGAAATCCTATCGCTCATCGAGCACGACGACGAATTCGGCCTGATCACCCGTCCCTACCAGAGCCTCATGGACAGTTTCCTGCGCGAGGTCCTGCGATGGAATCCGCTGAGCGAACGTAAGTCCGCACCCCTACAAACTCCCTGACCTAAACCCACACCTCACCCCCATACCCCCCAAACCACCCAACTAACTAACCCCCCCCTACCCCTCTTGGAAACAGTAAACCCCCGCTACACCCTTCTAAAACCCCACACCTTCACCACCACGACCACCAAAACCCGACACCCCCTCCCCTTAACCCTCCCCGCCACCACCCAAATAACCTTCCCAGCGGGCCCGCTCTCCCGAGACGCCACCATAATCCCGCACGCGGAGCGCTTCGACGCCTTCCGGTGGACCCGGGACCCGTTAGAGGTCCTCCCGCTCTTACGGCCCGACACGATCGACCCGCGCCTCCGCAAGGCCGTCGCCTTCGACACCGGCTTGGCGGACACCAGCCCGGTCAATTTGCACTTCGGCTGGGGAGGAGGAGAGGGAGGTCGCGGAGCGGTGTGTCCCGGTCGACACCTCGCGGCGCGCCTGGCGGCCGTGGCACTGGGCCGGCTGCTGGTGCAGTACGATCTGCGGCTGTTTCCGGGGGAGAAGAGACGTAGGCTTGGGAATTTGGGGGCGGGGGAGTTGGTGTTTCCTAATCCCGGGGTGAGGGTGTTGGTTAGGGAGAGGGGGAGGGGAAATTGAGGGGGTTGTGTTGTGAGGCGGTGTTTGGGGGGTGCTAGAGACAATCGTGGGTTTTATTGAGGAGTGTTGGAAGGAGGGGGCGAGTGGGGTTGGGGATATGGAGGGCTTGATGCACGTTGTCATCGTAGTGATTTGTGGTGGAGTGGGTGTGTTGAGGTGAAGGGAGATTGTATCATCGAATTAAGAGGGGTGGGTGGGATGTGGTCAGGGCTGACGTTCGGCTGGGCATGGGCAAGTCGATGTCTACGTTGTTCATGCTTGGAAGCATGTTGTACTCTACTCGAGAATATTTGCAAGAAGGCGCCACAACAACGCATTTTACTATTTCAGCAAGATTTACACCTGACAGATAGGACTACGTATTCAAACACACCACATTCGGGGAATGCGAAGCTATGTATCATTGGGAGATCCAACTTCTGGCCGCAAAACATAGTATCTGTACCAAGAATACATGTCCCAGATATACAAGTGGGATATCCCTATCGCTTACAAGACTCCTTTGCCTTCCCCACAAAAATTTACAAGCCACCCACCGGCTCTAATTCCCCTCAACAACAGTCGCGGCTCCTCGCCCACGACCACGACCCCGGAATCCATTACCACCTCGATCTCCACCACTACCACCACGGCCACCTCCACGGCCACGGCCACGCTGATTCAGTGTTTGCGGCGGCGGAACCTGGGAGTAGTTCTTGGGCCGGAAGTTCGGGTTGATCTTCATGACTCCGGCTTCGGGGTCACTGTTGTCGACCGTATGATATCCGCCACGGGTGCGGCCCGCTCCTCCGCGACCGGCACCGCCACGGCCTCCCCCTCGGCCCCGACCACCGCGAATTGCGCCATCGGCGGTCTGGTTGCCGTTGGACTGAGGGCGGAAAGGCAGGGTCGTCTGAGCGCCCACGCCGTTAGATGCGCCCCGGCCGCCTCGGCCACGACCAGCCAATCCCGTCAGTGCGCCACGGTACGAGTTGCCCAGCGGCGCGGGGGCGGCAGCTTCTCTCAGCTGGCCCTGTCCGGCGGGACCAGTAGGGGCACCGTAGGCACCAACAGTCAACGGAGTCGATTGGGTCTGTTGTTGTTGTGCGTCGCCTGCACGAGTCGTGGCGAGGAGCTGTCGGTAGGAGACATTAAGGACGGATGATGCGAGCACGGTCTGGCCGCGGAAAGGGGAGCAGCGGTCACCCAGCGTCGTGCCGCTCATGAACGAGACGTCGAAGACAACATCCAGCAAGACGGCCCGGGAGGTCCGGGTGAGGCCCACAACAGTTCCTCGAGTAGCGATAGGCACCTTGCCCGAATCCTGTGCATAGACTACCCGATCGCCAAGCTTGAATGTTTGATTTTGGAGTCGCTGCTCGACGTCGGATGGCCGCAGAAGGGCGCTTCGAGGGACGCCGCGGATCTTCTTGGGCTGCATCTGCGGTTGGCTCCGGACAAGCTGATCAGCATCCTGCTCGATCAACTTGACAACATCGGAATCCAGCTGTTCAGCCTCCAGGGGAACGCGCTCGAAATTTTTGGCTTCGATCGATTTGAGCCAGTCCCGGATCTCTTGCATCTTGAGCAAAGCGACCTCTTCGGGATAGAAATCGGTGGGCGTGTACCGATCATTTTGAGGATTCCTTTGGATCCCTGCGATGAACTCGGGAAATTTGGTCATATACTGTACCAGCAAGTCGACAGTTTTCTGGCTGAACTCCCATCCCGAATCGCCACGGCGCGAATAACCAAGTACCTTCTGCTTGCGCGCCTCAAATTTGAGGTTCAGACCCAGGTTGACTCGCTGGCCCTCAATATCGACGGAGAACGAAGATGTGATCTTAGCCAAAACGAGGGGGTTCAAGCGCAGGCTGCGAGCGATGGCATAAGAAGGCATGTAAGGGCAGAGTCGCTCGGCATTCTTGGCACGATCGCGTCCGAACTCGGGCTCCCGACCTTTGACCGCGGCGATCATGCCGCTGACTTTGCCGTCTTCGTGTCCAGTGACATGCACCGGACGTCCGTAGTTGAATTCTCCTAGGAAGAATGCCCGAGAACCCTCAGGAAATTCCTTCTCAATGGGCAGAGCGTCTCTCTCGATGAACCGTTCGTCGGGGTTGATCACATCGTCCACAATTAACTGCAAGGCGTAGTCGGTTTCCTGTCCACTGATCTCGCCGAACTCTTTAACCGTAGCACCTTGATCGGTCTTGATCAGGCCCTTCAGTAGCTGCACGTGTACCATGGACTCAACCGGGCCAATGATAGTACCAAGTCTCTTGCTATACGTTCCTTCAATTTTGTCGGCCTTCTTCTTCCATTGCTCGATCTGAGCCGGGGTGTGAGGAATAGCGACCACGTGCTGCTCCCCATCTGGGAGAAGATAATCAAAAAGCTCATCCGACACACGAATGACAAGCGCTTCTTGCAGGAACGGATAACCAACATGAACCCGCTTTCCGAGCTTCTGTTTGGCTAGCTCCGCGCTCGACCTGCTTCCAGGATCAAGCACAGTGATAACCATGCTCTCATTGCGGCTTTCCTGCTGGAACACACAGACTCCATGGAATCCCAGCTGACCCACATGGGGCAGGGTCTTTAGACTAGGGAAACCAGCCAAAGCTGACGCTCCAAGGTGTGCTCCCTCCATCAGGCCGATGTACGGCTCAAGTCCGTCCATGGTAGGCAAGTCAAAAACGTTTTCGATACAGTGACAGTTAGGGATGTCAGGGAAAATGCCAGGAAGAGACGAGGGGTAAGTGAACTGCACGTCCGGCGAGTAGGTGAACTTCAAACTGGCACCAAAGCCGTTTCTTGCTTTTTCTTCTGGGGTCAGTAGGTGTTCCTTCGTGGCCAAAGCAGCCAACAGGCGCTTTTCGTCGATGAATGGGATCTTCACAACTGCCTCCCACTCCATCTTCTTTCCATTCATGTCCAATTCAAAGTCGCGGGGATAAAAATCAATAATCGGCGAGTCAGGTGAAGTCATCAACTCATGATACGCAGTAGGAACGGTCTTCTTGCTTCGATCAGGCAAGACTCCCATCAGCTGCTCATAAGGCCTGAATGGCTTGCCAAGTCGGAAGTTCGTGTCGGCCTTCAAACCCTTCTTCACATCTGCACCAAGTTAGCGGTAAATAATCAAGTAGGCACATGTCATACTTACCAGAAATCATCGGGGCATAGTGATATTTGAAGAACCAAGGCCAAGACGCAATGCCTCTGTAATAGTAGTACAGAACCCATTGGAGACCTTGGACGTAGTTCTCAGTCAACTCCTTCATCTCCTCGTGACTATCCAGCCCCCAACCAAATTTGCCAACGTAGTACTGGTTCTTCCATTCTTGGAACTTCTCTTCGTACTTCTTCTCGGCTGCTTCTTGAGCTTCTTCAGCCGACAGCTCCTGGACCTTCGCGTTCTCGTACTTCCGAATAATCCTTTGTACAGCCAAAGTGGCCTCTTCATCATCCTCCGCTTCACTATCGTCATTCTCATTAGCAGGTAGCTGAACACGAATGAAGCGGTCGCCCTGCTCATCAGCGACGGTGGTCCAAGGCAGGCGTAGATCGCTCGCCAGCTGCTCCACAAACTTGCGATCGCGAGCGGGCAGCGTAGAATTGAAGTCAAGAGGCTTCGTATCCGACGCCTTCCCAGGTCGGTTCAACACGTATTTCTTCACTTCTTTGAGGAGCTCCTTCTGAGCAGGAGTTATCGTGAGTCCCTTCGGCTTCTCATGTGCCTCGGTGGCGCCAGTCTTCTTCGCTTGAAGCCAGCGTGCATCGGAGAACTCGGCTTCAAAGAAGCGATACTCAACGCTGCTCAAAGCGTCCAAGAGCATGCCTAGCCGCTCCATGTGGATGACGCCTTGTTCATTGATGTAGCCACCCATTTTAGGTAAAATCTCCTTGTAGGTCTTGAACATCAACGCTAAAGCGCCCTCGTTGATATGCAGATTGGGTAAATTGGGCAAGAAATCGTTTCCAACGAAAAATGCCATCAAGATGAAGTCGTCAATGACCCTCTCCATATCGAAAGGAAAGTCCAGAATGCCCTCCTGCTCTAACTCCTGGAACTCCAGTTCCAAATATTCTCTGACCATAGACAGATGCAAAAGATAGAAGTTTTGATGCTCAAGTTCCTTAGGCTTCTTCGAGACCTGGCGGCCAAAAGTGACCTCCTCACGGAGAAGGCAGAAATGAGGGTCGTGACTCAGCAGACCCAACATGATCAGATCGGCATCAAGACCGTAGAGACAGTGGCGAACATTGGGGTTGTAATCAGGCTGTGCTTTCGCATGCCGGATGTATTCCATGATCTTGTGCTCACCCTCACCAGGAGTCTCGTGGCCGGAAAGCACAATGTCAACTCCCTGCCAATCCTTGTCCTCCGAAATCTTCTTGCTGATAAAGTATTTCAATTGTTCAGTCAGTTTCGCCATGAACTCGGTTCCTGGAGTAATGCAATTGCTGTCAAAAGGATCTTCCTTGGGCATCTCGATGCCCTGAGCAATCGCCTTGTCCTTGGCTACCTCAGCGTCCAGGGCTGTGCGGAAACGTCGCGCACGCTGTTGGTTCATCTTGGCGCGGGGAGCCACGCCATCGACGGCCATAAAAAAAAGCTTCTTCGGCTTGATTTTGCCGTACAAATGCTCGATGTAGTTGAAAATAGCGATGAACATCTTATCTTCGGTCATGCGGAATGTAGGCGAGTCGCTGTCCTTGTGGGTACAGTTGTGGATGATACCGTTCATGTCCAGGTACAGATTGTCGAACTCGGGAATCCGGTTCTCTGCAATCAGCAGTGAAATAGCGGGATACCGCTCGCTCAGCCAACGGAAGAACTTGGGAACACCCATGGTGAATTATGTAAATAGAATCTAGCGTGAAGGAGGTGTAGGTTCTAGAGACGAGAATTATCAAGAAGACAAAGACTGCCGTTGAGTCGTAGATCGTCGCAGGGAGTGGTGGAAGTGGCGGTGGTCGTCAATAATCAATGAAGCTCCAAGCTCGGAGGCGAATCATCCAGCGCACAGCGTGATGGGCGGTCGCAGAGAAACGGAAACGACTGGGTATCCTCAAAGAACTATATTGACAGAAGAATTTCGATACAGAAAGGAGGAGAAAATGGAGAAGAGGTGAAGTAACGAGACGGAGGGGCGGCGAAGGCGCCTAATTGGCAAGAGGGGAAGAATGATGTGTAGTGAATGAAGAGAAGAGACAAGGTGGGCAAGGCCGATGATGAATGACTCGAACTACAGCTCGGATGGGTTTCGCCTCAGGCAGCCATCCTTGGCATCATGTGAGCCTGCCAAGCCCCTTCTTGTCCCAATCAGGGTTAGCTCCCTCGGGCGGTCATTAACGCGCCGTCAACGGCAAAGTCGCGTTTCGTCCAGTGCGAACAGGAAGCTCGCTCTTTGCTCTACTCTGCTCCGCCCTGCTGCTTAACACTTCACCCTCTCCGAGTCCCAACCCTCCAACCGGGCATCCATCTTGCATTTGTCTTACACTACTCGCAATATAGCTCCTGCAATTCGCATCTATACATTCATATAATCTCCGGTGGACAGAAGCCATGGAACCTTACGACGAAAGTAGGAAACTCTCTGCGAGATGTGTTGCGCGAGCACCTTTTCTGACTTTCACCCACAATAGCTTTCGTTGAGGAGCAGGAGGAACAAGAGGAGGAGCGCACTGAGGAGAAGATAATTAATGAAGGTATGAAGCACATCTAGCTTTGACTGGGACGGCAGGCAATCGGAAGACTAAGTGTTACATCAGAGTACAAGACATGGAAGAAGAACGCCCCATTTCTCTACGACATGATCCTCAGCACGGCACTGGAATGGCCGACACTCACAACGCAATGGCTACCTGATAAGCAAGAGTATGCGCATACGCCTGTGTTGAGTTTCAACCAATTCTAACACAAGTTAGGGTTCCTGATAAGCCATATTCTACTCACCGTTTACTCATCGGCACTCACACGTCGAGCGATGCGCAAAACTACTTGCAAATTGCCCATGTACAACTCCCTAATCCTACTGCACCCAACCCAGATGACTACGATGAGGATCGGGGCGAGATCGGCGGGTACGGCGGCAGCTCCAAGAAAGCGCCCATGGAGATCAAATTCAATATCGTGCAAAAGATTGACCACAAGGGTGAAGTCAACAAAGCTCGCTACCAACCGCAGAATCCGAACATCATTGCAACAATGTGTACGGACGGACGGGTGATGATCTGGGATCGCTCGAAGCACCCTAGTCTACCCACCGGAACGGTTAACCCTCAGATGGAGCTACTAGGCCATACGCGAGAAGGTTTCGGACTTAGCTGGAGCCCTCACACTGCCGGTCACCTTGTCACGGGTAGTGAGGACAAGACTGTTCGTCTTTGGTAAGATCAACACACTAACTCCCTATCAGTGCTCGGCCACTAATCACCGTGTCAGGGATCTGACGACATACCAAAAGGGCAATAAGGCTCTGAAGCCGGTGCGGACCTACACGCACCACTCTTCTATCGTCAATGACGTGCAATATCACCCTCTGCACTCTTCCCTGATCGGAACGGTATCCGACGATATTACCCTCCAAATCATCGATATTCGTGAAGCCGAGACGCACCGCGCGGCCGCTTCCGCCGAGGGTCAGCACCGCGATGCCATCAACGCTATTGCATTCAACCCTGCTGCCGAGACCGTCCTGGCGACTGGATCGGCTGATAAGTCCATCGGACTGTGGGATCTGCGTAACTTGAAAACCAAGTTGCACGCCCTGGAATGCCACAATGACTCTGTGACCTCCCTCTCTTGGCACCCCTTCGAAGAATCCGTCCTGGCCAGTGCAAGCTATGACCGTAAGATCATGTTCTGGGATCTTAGCCGGGCTGGAGAGGAGCAGACCCCTGAGGATGCACAGGATGGACCGCCAGAGCTGTAAGTTTAACATGGCCCAATTATGGGTTGAAATACGCCTGCTAACCGGATACACTTTAGTCTCTTTATGCACGGTGGCCACACCAACCGCATTTCCGATTTCAGCTGGAACCTCAACGACCCTTGGGTGCTCTGCTCTGCTGCGGAGGACAATCTTCTGCAGGTGTGGAAGGTGGCCGATGCGATTGTGGGCAAGGACCTGGAGGACGTACCGACTGAAGAACTGGAGCCATGAGTCGGCTTCGTTAAAACAAAAACCGGACGTCTACATTATTGATACCTACCTTGAGCGGTTGTCTTGCTTCTTGTATTGCTACACGCGTCTCACGGATACAGTCAAGCGGAGTTTCAAACCAGGGAACGCCCTTGTAGTAGATGGCCCTGTCGCTGGTGTGCCTAAACATTTCATTCTGATGCCTTATGTAAAAATGACAAACCATTGTATGAAAAGGGACATCTTGGGCCCGTCCATAATCGATCTCGATTACCAGAGTGTAGAGGGAAGCATCCTTCTTTGCATTTATAGTCTGCTAGGGGACACAGTGCTGGCTTCTATAAACAAGCTATTGAACTTATGTCATTAATGGCAATTCATATAATCTCGCCGTGTTGTCCGCATAATAAGCACGCCGACGGCATTCCGACCGTTAGCACCGATAAGGCAGGGCAGGTCGTGCGCAGCAGCGTTACAACTTACGAGTGCTAATAATGCGCCGAAGATGCTGGTGCAGATCATGCGGGGTAGGGGGCGTGCAGCTGCCAAGCATTTGCCAGCGGGCCACCCTCTTGAGATCCAGGCACTTTTGATGAGGGGATATGCTTCAAGAATCATCACTACTGATTTTTCTTGTCTTGTCGGTAGGAAGTCGTCTTGACTGCGGATATCACCTGTTTTATATCAGGAAGTTGGGAGGCAGTAGTCCTGTCGCAGTCCGGAGTTCGGGGCATCGGAGAACGGTGAATGGTGAAATCAGTCTGGAATGAGCTAATCAACACTAGCGGCGAGTCCTCCTCGTGTCAGCCCGTACATTGAGCTAAGTGATTGGTCAGTAGTGCAGGCGGTGAGAGCGGACACCTGCGATCGGAGAGGGGCCATTTCGCTCCGAAAAGGTAACGCCGTTCAGCGCGGCGAGCCTTAATTTTTTCCTTTTCTCATCCTTCATCGGAGGAAAAAAAATACAAGAAGCTCATTAATTGTCGGTTTGTCTTGCTGTGTATTGGAACTGGTGAACTTCGCTTGCGATCCTCATCACCATCGACCAGGGACGTGTTGCCCACAGCTAAGCTCCTCCACACGCATACCTCCATTACCCCCTCATACATACATCCCCTCCCTCTGGTTTGAGTCATGGCCTCCGGAACCTCCCCTCCCCACGGCCCCAAGCCCAAGTCTGCCATCCCCTCCCACATGCTGAACGGCGGTTCTCCCCTTCATCTGTCTCTGGGCACCCGCGATGCTCGTGAGCGCGAAAGTCTCAACTCCTCTATTCGTTCGTCCTTCACTCCCCGCGTTCCTGTTGAATTCGCCGACCTGCCTGAAAACATCCGTCCTGCCGGAGATTCCAATCAGTACCAGGACGATACTCCTTCCGGTTCTCTCATCGCCAGGTAGGTCATCAATTTTCTCGCTTGCAACTATTCTCATACTGATAAGCCGCAGACCTACCCTGAGGGACCCTGCTCGTGATGCCAGAGATGAAGCCGGTGCCTTGACCCCGCCTGCCAACGAAAGCCGACCAGCCAGCCCTTACACCCTTTTCCCTCCCATTGACTTTGACGGATTGAGCTGGCCTTGTGAGTATTGATGTATCTATCGGAGAGGAGTCTTTCTAATCCACTTGTCCTGCAGGCCCTGGTACCCGGGCGCGCCTGGAGTCAACTCCCGAGGAGAACGAAGAGCGCATCAAGAAGTTGGCCGGTGCCGTGAGAACTATTCTGGAATGCGTCGGAGAAGATCCGGAAAGAGAAGGACTGCGAGAGACGCCCGAGAGATACGCCAAGGCTATGCTTTACTTCACAAAGGGATACGAGGAGAACGTTCGGGACCTCGTCAACGGTGCTGTTTTCCATGAAGATCACGATGAGCTGGTTATCGTCAAGGATATCGAGGTGTTCTCGCTGTGCGAGCACCACATGGTTCCCTTCATGGGCAAGGTAAGATGACCGACTACAACAGTGTAGAAGGGTTGAATTGCTGACTAGGATTCCGAACAGATGCACATTGGCTACATCCCTGACCGCCGCGTGCTTGGTCTCTCCAAGCTGGCTCGCCTGGCAGAGATGTTCTCCCGTCGTCTACAAGTGCAAGAACGTCTGACGAAACAGGTTGCCCTCGCGATTTCCGAGGTTCTGAAGCCCCGCGGTGTTGGTGTCGTCATGGAATCCGCCCATCTTTGCATGGTCATGCGTGGCGTGCAGAAGACTAGCAGCACTACGACCACTAGCTGCATGTTAGGCTGCATGCGTTCCAGCGCCAAGACTCGCGAGGAGTTCCTCAACCTCTTGAACCGCAGATAATGTCTCTTATGCCCACTCAGCTTTCCTTTACGACGCACTTGTTACCCCTCTCGTTTTAACACTGGATGGTTTCATGATTTAAGGAGTTACGGCGGTTTATACCTTTCAACAGGTCATTCATTGGGTTTCCATGTTGGCATTCTTTCTTTTGGTAATTGTGGCACGGAAGAGTCGGCCATGTTGCCCTTCACTTTTGCATAGATTCTTGGCATCGTCACGAAGACTGACCAGGAAGAAGCCACATTTCCCCCATCGCTCTCGTCATCGCTTCTGGGGATTTGTGCAAAACATTTGATAAACAAACAACAAGATTACGCGCTGCTCCCTCAACATTCTGCAGCGCGGAGGACATCGTTGGGGTGTAATTTGGATGATTCAACATATTTTACTAATATCTTCTCAACCTGATATCAGGACATTACGGTACGGCTGGGGTGGTCAAATTCGGAGAACGGCGAACGATCGATCGAAAATCTTCATGTACATTGGAAGTCGAACGCATCTGATCAAATGTATTTATCTTGAAATGGTCGATTTGGATAGTGCCTTCTGGTTACTTCATGAAACGGACATCTTATTGAACTTTTCACAGGCTTCTGGTGACCTCTTGTTGGCCTCAAGCACCCTTGGCTTGACTTCAAGGGTGATTGTTTTCTCTATGAAGATGCCCGGGTCCTGTAGACATAACCTTTGCTGGCTAGCTAGTTGCCTTTTATCGTTTTTCTCCTTGTGAAAACCGCATGCTGTACGATTCTGTGAGAATATCTCATGGTCAAGTTCCCTGACTAGCCCGTTCTTGAGTGCTCGGGAATCGGCACAAGTAAATATACTATACATTTCGGCAAATACAACAAATGCCTCTGCAGTATCAGTTTATCCTTATTCAGGACAACCTGCAGAAGTAACAAAATTTCTACATCTTATCAAGATCTGAGATCCGAACTATGTAGATACTAAACAACTGAGAAAATTGAAATGCAAGGAAGCTATCATGAATGCTCCGTGTTGTGGAGCATCTTTATTAGTGAATGGACGTGCCGGATTGGTGTGCCTTTGCCTACATCCTGGTCTTATTCCAGGTCTCGCAGTGAATGACTGACTGTAGTGAATTTTGCGTCAACCGCCTGGCCAGGGTGGGGGTATATCAGTTGCTATGGTGTTGCTCCTCCATCTCTCACCATCCATGAACAACTTATCTTCCTCTTTCCACTCTTTATCCATACTTTCCACGATTATTATCCAAGCAAGTGTGAAAAGCCTCAACGCAATCTGCCTCTATTCGCCACCTGCTTGATAATCGTCCTCCATTTGTCCTGACTCGATTTGAAGCAAGGTAAGTGTCTCGTTGAGTGAGAACTTTATCCTTCCTCCAAAAACCGTTGGCACAACACTGAGTTTGTTTACAAGTAGACATAAGGTGTTCTACGGCCTTCCTGCTGACAGCACCAGGTAAAGAACCCCGCTGTCATCATGGCAAGGTCGTATACCCCCGACGAGCTGGCAGCCGCCGAAGGCTTGCTTCTTCTGTGGGCGAGTCGAAGCGTCACAGCCACCCTACGCGACGTCCAGGGAGCTGCGAGCAATAATCACGAGATAAATCGCCATGGGGATACCGAGCACAGTCAGCAGCATGACGATATGCAGACTTCCCGCGTCCACGATGTGGATATGCTGCCACCTTCCCCCCTTCAGAGTCGGCCTCATCCTCATTTGAGCGCTCCTTATAGACGTGAGCCAAGCAGTACCTCTCATAGTCGAGTGATCCAGCCTCCTGTTCCTGTGGCCCTACTTCCGCAACACCCTCATCCCATCACAGCTCGTACTGCCACGCAGAACAGCTTCCCTGGGTTGCGAGCAAACATCCCCCCGTTCCACGAAGAGGGCTCTCCGCAGTATGCTCAAGACCAGGAGCAGCGTCAGATCACACGCTTGATGATTCTGCGCCATGTTATGAATAATCGACCCCCCGGAAGAGCTGAAGCTGCGCGGCAGAACATTATGCAGCGCTTCCCACCGCGTGGCAGCCGCCTGGATCGCGAGCAGAACTCCCGGCTCGGTAGAATCCCAGGTGCTGCTCGAGACCGCGCGAGTCGCTTGCCTCCACGCTTCTTGCCTGCGAGAAACTCCAGGCCCGCTGAGTCGCGCCATGTGTCGTCGGGCAGCCGAGACTTGGGACACAATGGATCAACTCAACATAACCTGCAGACCAACACCGCCGCTCACGATGCCTCGGGTAGAACCGCCAATCCAGCCACCGGTGTCAACGGCTCAGCTGCATCCCCTTCTCATCAGGAGCAAAGCACCGCAGACTCTCAGCCTGGTATGTCGCTGCAGAAGTATCTAATCCGGCAGCAGATGATCGCCGGCGTACAGCCAGAGGAGATCGCACCCATCCGTCCTCAGGGGATGGTGAACAGGCCTTCGGCTCCGGTTGTATTGCAGATCAGAGCCGACGCTGTTGCCGTGCCTAGAATCCCACCTGCGCAGTTCAGCGGACCACTTCAGCCTCTTCGGATCGTGCCACGCGGAGCTCCTGGGCTCATCAACGGGCCAGTCACCAGGAACACTGCACTACACAGTCATCCTGTGAATCAAACCCCTGAGCCTAAGTCTGAAGACGACAAGCCAGCGGCCACCGACGACAAACCTCAACCTCAGACCCCGCAGCGTCCAGCAAGTTCTCGCTATCTCACACGCTCTGTCACACGGCGCACTCGGGACCAGAACAGCCTGCTCACCTCTACGCCTGACTCTCAAGCACAAGCATCAGCGGTGGTCAAATCCGAAGGCGACACCAACCCAGCCGCTCATCCACCCCGTCTCTTGCCCAACATACCAGCCCCAGACAACAACACCAACATCAACATACTCTGGGCCCAAGAACAGTTCCCAGAGAAAGAGCCCCGCCAACCTTCCACCATCGCCATCACAATCCCCCACAACAACTTCGACCTCCTCTCCGCCCTCTCCGCCCACCCCGAACTGACCGTGATGGTCACCGACCTCCTCCACCCCGAGGACATCCTAACCCTACTCTCCCTCTCGCGCCCCCTCCACCGAACCCTGCACCACAACCTCCCCACAATCACAACCCACCACCTCCAAGACCTCAACACCAACCACCCCGCCAACATATCCGACACCTTCCCCCTGATCTGCTACCCAGCCCTCTACACCACTAACCCCTCAAACCCCAACCCCCACCCCCACCCAAAACTAAGCTACCTCCTAATGCTCACCACCCGCACCACCACCATCAACCGCATCCTCACCACGCTGCTCGCAGCCAACATCTTCCTCCCCGCCGGCACGGCCCTCATCCTCCGCAAGCTCTGGTTCCTGATGGACGTCCCCGACAACCACCGCCGCGAGTGGACGGTGCGCAACCGCAATCTGTGGTCGGATCTGGATCTGTTCCTGGGGGTGTTTTTCCTGGTCCAGGTCGACGCATTTCTGGAGGAGGTGAAGGGCGTGACGCAGTTCACGGTCATGCGGCAGCTGTGTCTTGCGCAGCCGTCGTTGGTTGTGTTGGCGGAGTATCTGGAAGAGGGGAGGTGCAAGAGGGGGGGAACCTTGGGATCTGGTGGTGCTTCTACTGCTGCCGGTCAAGAAGAGAAAGATGGTGAGAAGAAGGGAGCGGATGGGGATGACGGTAAGGATGAAGATATGCTCGGGGTGAAGGACGCAAATGAAGGGCATGCTGGACCTGCCGTCCCTGAAGATCCTGAACCCACTGAACCCACCACCCCAACAGCAGCACCCACTCCAACCGCCCCATCCTCATCCCCACCCACCGAAGAAGACCTCGGACCCCTGCAATACGAATACTACGGAAGGAAGAACACCCCCCACGAAATCAAACTGCTGCGCCCCGACCAGTGGATCATGCGCGAGCTCCTGCACCGCGGCCTGGATCTGCAGAAGATGTACAAGCTGGTGTTCGGGGGCGGCGGGCGCGAGCAGTTCGAGACCCCCGGCATCGCGGGCCAGAGGGTCACCTGGGACGAGCAGATGCGGACGGCGACGCTGAGGAGCCAGGTGGATTGGATGGAGGTTGTGCGGTTGGATCGGTGAAATCCTGGAATTTTCGATGATGGGATGTTTTTTTTCTTTTTTTTTTCGATTATGGGGGTTTTCTTTTTCGATAAAAGGTTCTGGTGTGGATGGGTCGTGGGGTGTATGATGGGTGGTGGAATTGATTTATGGAATGGTATGTTGGATGAGGGAATGCATGGGACATTTACTGATGCGGTGATACTCGAAGAAACTGGAACTGTAAAATACGTCTGCTCATAGGAGATTTCTACAGAATCTGAAATGAAAAAAAACTAAATCTCTTTGATATCTTTCGCTCACTGAGGACCTTCCTGTAAAGTAGGCCTGCAGGTAATGCTATTGATACATTACAACACAAGTTCTAAACACTAGTATACATGGACTGAAGAGTACTGTACATGACGAGGCAGACACCGAAGCTTAGTACAGAGTACCGCACTCCCAGTTCTCGGCCTTGTCGACATCGCCCTGGCCCTTGTACTTGGCCAGGCTGGGCCACGGGCAGATGGGGCGCTGCTTGTCGACGCCGTCGGCAACCACATCGTTCTTGTACTTGGTGGGGATCAAGTATTCGGGGGCGTTGTCGTTCTCCACCCAGTCCACCATGGCGAGGATAAGGTCATGCTTGCTGTCGTTGAAGCCGGGCACACCGAAGATGGTGCCAGACAGGGAGCCAGCCTGGCTGTCTCCGTTCATGTAGTAGGGGGCGTCTTGGTCAGTGGGGGTGCCGGTGCAGTGCTCCATGCCGGGCACGAAGAAGAGACGGTAGAAGTCATCAATGGGAATGCCCTGGGGCCGGAGGGCCTCCTGGTAATGGTTGTAGAGGTACAGGGAGGACTTGGAAGCGATCGACGGGTCGGAGTAGCCGTGGTATTGAAGGAGCTTGCCACCCTTCTTGTAGAAAGGAGAAATGTCGAAGTCGTCGGCGGTGGCATTACCCGGGT